TGTCATGTTAGTTCAGCTTACACACCAGTGTTGGTGCTGTATTAATATGCCAAAATTCTAACGGCTTCAAATCTAGCAGGAGAAAGCTGATAACCCAACATGTGAGAGAATAGGTCTGCATGTTCAGTGTTTGCAGAAATAAAAAAAATCCTGCAGGACGCAGTGCATAATGAGGAAAAAAATCTCCGACCGTGTTTTTGGTTTAAAACGCTGAATTTGAGGTGTATTTTCATATGGTATTTATGGTTATACAGTGGTCCCCCGGTTCGCGAAGTCACCGGTAACCAATAAATCCGGTATCCGAAGCGTTATATCTCAAAAAATTTGCCCCGGTTCCCGTAACAAAACCCGGTACACGATACAATTTGTACGAGACGTGTCCACATGTGGCCTGAACTGCCCAGTGTGTGCCAGTGTTTACAAGCCAGCCAGTGTGCGCGCATCTAAGGATACATTCGGTACATTCCATATTATCCATATTATCACTGTTTCTGGTGCTTGTTTCTGCAAAATAAGTCACCATGGGCCCCAAGAAAGCTTCTAGTGCCAACCCTTCGAGACCAAGGGTGCTAATGACTATTGAAATGAAGAAAGAGATAATTGCAAGTATGAGAGTGGAGTGCGTGTGTCGGACCTGACCAAGTTGTATAGTAAATCCCAATCACCCATCTCTACTATAGTGAGCAGGAAAACGGCAATCAAGGAAGCTGTTCTTGCAAAAGGTGCAACTGTGATTACAAAACAGCGATTGCAAGTGTTAGAAAATGTTGAGAGACTGTTACTGGTGTGGATAAATGAAAAACAGATAGCTGGAGATAGCATCTCTCAAGCGATCATTTGTGAAAAGGCTAGGCAGTTGCATGAGGATTTAATTAGAAAAATGCCTGCAACTAGTGGTGATGTGAGTGAATTTAAGGCCAGCAAAGGTTGGTTTGAAAGATTTAAGAATCGTAGTGGTATACATAGTGTGATTAGGCATGGTGAGGCTGCCAGTTATGTTGTGCGACAGAAGTCCAGTGACTCTCAAGCTGGTCCTAGTGGCATTAAAAGAAGAAGGGAAGTAACCCCGGAAAAGGACTTGCTACCTCAAGTCCTAATGGAGGGGATTCCCCTTCTAAATGCTAACACCATCCACGCTCTCCCCTCCTCCCATCCCATCAATCATCACCAGATCTTCATTAAAGGTAAGTGTCAATTATTCTATTGTGTTTATTCTATTTTTATTATTGCTATTGTAATTATTCTGTTGTATTAAACTTAATATTTCATGTGGTAAAAGTTTTTTTTTCATACTTTTGGGTGTCTTGCACGGATTAATTTGATTTCCATTATTTCTTATGGGGAAAATTGATTCGCTTTCTGATAATTTTGCTTTACGATGAGCTCTCAGGAACTGATTAATGACGTGAACCGGGGGTCCACTGTATTCTCGTTTTCTTGATCTCATTTGATAGAATGGAAGATATACAGCCTCCCCTCACTTAATGACGGAGTTCCGTTCCTGAGACCTTGTTGGTAAACGAATTCGTCACTAAGTGACGAGCATACTATGATGGTAGTGGGTTCGTGTCAGTCATCTTTGATATTGTTTTAATGTTACCTTTGCACCATTTATAACATTTCTGGTATATTTTTAACTGTTTATGCAGTAGTTTACTGTATATTGTAATAAACAGAATAGAGGAAATTAGCTCTAATATTCATTATTTTGGTATGCATAATGGTCAGAGAGCCTGTCGTAAGTCTGAGGCATCGGTAAACAAGTACGTTGCTAAGTGAGGAGAGGCTTTATTACAGAAATAGAGATGGTTTTAATAGGTTTCACAATGAAAAGTACCCTGAAATTGAGCTCAAAGTAGCAGAAATGTTTGATTTTTGCCGATGTTCAAGAGTAAACAGTACGTGTCAATACGTGTCCAATTGCCCAGTCAAATACGCAGTCACAAATGGGTTGACATTATTTATACACTTATTACAATAATGCAGTAGTCTGCATAACAGTAAATCTTCTATTTTTTGTGTGAATAAAAATTCAGAATGGATAGCAAAAGTAATATAAGAGGGGCCTGGAGATGTGACTAATGAACAGAGAAAATATTATTTTAGCACCACGAATGTCTGCTTGTTTATTCTGGACCCAATTTTGAGATTGGCATCTTTTGAAATTTGTGTGAAATTGGCCAAATTGCCAATTTCTGACCACTTTATTGTGCGGTTGAAATGGGTAAATGGGTGGTTTCTTGTACTCAGTTGATAGAACAAATGGAGTTTTAGTGAAATAGCTATGAGTTTGATTGACTGGAACAATGGAATTAGCAGAAAATAGGGCTCAAAGTGGGCGAAATCGCCGATACGTACATATCACAGAGATCATTAACTTCGCGAGAGCGTAATTCTGTAAGTTTTCCATCAAATTTCTTACTTTGGGTGTCATTACCATCAGGAAAAGATTCTTTATCATTGCATAAGAACGAATAATTTTTTTTTTTTTTTTTGAAAATTTTTTGACACAGCAAGTTTGTGAGCAGAGGTCTCGACAGTGAAAGGGTTAATCCAAAAGCAGTGTCACTGTTTTTTTCCTCATTATGTACTGCATGCTGCAGAATTTGTTTTATATGGTGCACACTTACCACATAGATGCATTCTCTCATCTAGGCCCAAATTTACCACTCACAGCTTATCTGAGTAAGCTGAGCTTATGACATAGTACTACGGCATGGACTCTCAAGGGGTTAAGAATCTCATTAAAATTAAAACATTTGGTGCCAAAGATTTTTTTGGATGGATTTGCTCATTTAACGGAGGAACATAATTTATCTACAAAACAAATCTATAAAGCAGACAAAGGAAAGTTATCATGGGGTTGTCTTATATAATACAGTGGACCCCCGCTTAATGATCACCTCCAAATGCGACCAATTATGTAAGTGTATTTATGTAAGTGCGTTTGTACGTGTATGTTTGGGGGTCTGAAATGGACTAATCTACTTCACAATATTCCTTATGGGAAAAAATTCGGTCAGTACTGGCACCTGAACATACTACTGGAATGAAAAAAGTTCGTTAACCGGGGGTCCACTGTATTTTGTTGTAATAAAATTTTTGAGGCTAAGGTGAAACATTGGAAAGAGTGGTTAACTATATTGATCTTCATGAATGCTTCTTGCACACTTAACCCTTTCACTGTCAAGATTTTTTAAATTAACATTGCTCTAAATTCACTCTCTCTTTAAAAAAAAAAAAAAAAACTTCTGAAATGGCAGAGAATATTTTTCTGAAGGTAATGACACCAGAATCACAAAATTTGATAGAAAACTTATGGAGTTATGCAGGTGCAGTTTATGCATTGGCAATTTTGCACACTTTGAGTGTGTCTTCCATTCTGTCTAATGATACCAAGAAACTGCGAATAAAACCATAAAAACTATTTGAGAAAACATTTTAAAGTTACTATTTGAAACCATACACAAGGTCAGCATTCTGTTTTCCCAACATGCAGTAGGTAGGGACAGAATTTTTTTTATACTGTGCACACTCACTGCACAGATCGATTTTCTCATATCTAGTCCAGAAGTTACTGCTCACAACTTATATAAGGAAACTGTGCTCAAAACATGAGGGATCCTGGCATCAGCAACACAGATCTTTGGGACAGCCATTCAAATAGTTAAATGGAAAACGCTTATCATAGTAAAGAGTGTGCAGTGAAGCACACTCATGGGTTTAAAACTCAGTTGTTTAAAAAGTCTCCACCAGATGCTTTCAGAAACATTATGTGCATAAGGGCAGGGAGCATTGCAAGAGAGCTGGTCTCTCATAAAAGAGTGCTAGTTTATACTGGTGTTTGACAATGTTTCTGCTCACCCATCTGTTCACACTCCCTCACTTTCTTCCCAGGATACTAATTTCTTACCTTTAGCAGTCAAACAAGGACCCCAATGGAAATAAGTCACACTGACTTTTTTTTGGTTATCCTAGGTAATCTACACATACACTACTATGTATGATAATCTATGTAACTGTATTTATTTGTACCTGTACCTGAATAATAACTTACTTAAGCACATGCAGTCCATAAGAAAACTGGAAATCTGACTGACCGGTACTTTGCTTCTAGGTAAATTATCTTAGTTAAATGTTTAGATATTAAAGTGAAGAATATAAAATCTTGTAGTATGTTTAAAAAAAAAAAAACTATTTTTTGATACACTTGCTGGCTAAATTGTGTTGATGTGTGAGAAAGCAGGTAGGATTTATTATAGTACAGTAGTGTCTAGTAATGTAAAATTTGGTAATGTCTAACAGTCTTATAACTTTTATTATGTATATACGGAATCCTACAGCTAGCACTAAAATTTTGAATTTCTAAATTAAGTGAGTGTTCTATTATAATGTTAGCCTTCAAAAGAGCAGTAATTTGAGTAATGCACAGCAAAAACAGCTATGACAAAACACAGCAGATTGAGATGAAATAAGGTTACCTTAATTACAAATCTTGCTTTTGAACTTCCAAGTTTAACACCCTCCTTCCTCCTCCTCCTTTTTTCCTATCCTAAATTTTCTTAAAACAAATTGCAGGTTGTGTTGAATTGCCAAGGTATCAACAATTGGATTGCAGCACCAGCCATATTCCTAACTGTAATTGATCATCCCTATACAAATTGATTTGTTTTTTTTTACAGTATATTTTCTAGATCTGTTTCCAAAGTACCAGACATCACTGTTGGGAAATTCTTGTACAGTGTATGTCAGGCATTTCCATTAAGGAACCTCTTAGTTTTCTTTTTATGTTCTGTACTGTTTATTAATAGGGAAAGTTGCTATTCACTTAGATTGCTGCTAAGTATTGGAGGTTTGTCTGATTTCATGTAGTTTTTGGTGTAGAAAATACACTTAAAGAAGACAGTATCCTCCTGTGAGGATATTGTCTTCTCTATAAAAGTATATTCTTTATAAAAATTAAAAAAATATTTGTCACCCTGTGCAAACTCTTCTTTCAGGAACAAGTATTAGGCATTGATGCAAGTTCCTCTGATGAGGCTAGTGGTGACAGTGAAGAAAAGGGAAGTGATGAAGATAACTTGTATATGGAAGATGATATTGTTGATGAACCTGAGTTCAAAATTCCTGATGAAAGAGCATGGGGCAAAGCTAAATGGAAATATATTGGCACAGACACCACTGATGAAAATATTCAGAGTAAGTCATTGTAACTATTATTTTCAGTTCTGTTTTAGGAATACAGTAGACCAGCATGAGTTTATTTGGCATGATTTGGGTATAGCACGACTGAAGAATTGTGGCACAATTTTATGTAACATGTCGTAAAATTAATTTAACATGTTCACTTTGTGGGAAGGAAAGAAAATTCCCTTTTCCTCAAGTGGCTGCCTTGTTGTGGATTAGCGGGGGAGACCTCCTGCCATCCCCTGCCACCCCCCGACGCCACCCCACCATCCCAGCATTCGTACTTCATACGTGTCCAGTCCATCTTTTCTGCTACAAGCTAGCTGTGTTTGTGAATTATTTTGATCTTTTAATTACTTATCTTATATCTACCAAGCAATCATGACACCCAGTAGGCATACCAGTGTTGCTGAAAGTGGCAAGAAAAGATATTAGCATTTAAATCATAGAATTAACGAAGAAAACAAAGATATTAGACAAGAGATAACCTGTGGCCTTAATGAAGTGTTACTTTGTACACATAAAAAGAGGTAAACATAAGTTTGTGTGACTGACTGACTTATTGAATGGCTGACTGAATGACTTACTGACTTGACTGAATGACTTACTGACTTGACTGAATAACTCACATGACTTACTGACTTCACTAACTGAATGACTTGACTGACTGAATGACTTGACTGAATGACTTGACTAACTGAATGACTTGACTGACTGAATGACTTGACTGGCTGAATGATTTAAAGTTAAACACTCCAGTACAACCATCAACTTCAGTACCAGAACCTCTACCATCCACCTCAGCCCAGTAGGACCACAACATAACTCTCCACTCTCTTCACAGTCATCCACAAACTACCAGCACCTGCAATTTAAGGTAAGAAATACTGTTATTTCTGTTACATTTGTAGTCTTAAGCAGTAGAAAGAACATAATACATCACAACAGTGAACTACAATTACATATTCACTTAATTTTTGTAAGACTTGGAGGCCTAAAAAAAGTTGTTTGGCTTTTTTTGGGCTCTCAGCAAAGTAGCCCTATTTTTCCCATAAGTTCTTCAGTTCATCTAACATGGTTTTACCTAACACGGCATTTTCAGGAACATAACTGCCTTGTTAAATGACGGTCTACTTTATAAAATTTAGCTTTACAAACCATTTGGATGTTACAACACTTGATGGGTGGGAGTTTGACAGTACTTTGTTTATTGTATATATTACATGTTTGCATAGATATTAACCCCTAAACAGTCCAAATGTATATATATGTTCTCTTGCCCAGTGCCCCAAATATTTTGAATTTTTTTTTTTATAGAAATAAAGAGTGCATTTTTTAAGTGTTATAGGACAATAAACATTTTAGAGTCAGTACTTACCGAGATATGAGGCTGCAAAGTTGGCACTGGATGCTCACCTTATGGCTACATCAAGTCCTGCCACTTGCAGAAGTGTTGCCGATATACCTTTTTTTCTCGCTTTTATATTTTATATAATTTTTATGTTCTGATAATTACAATTTCTAGTAGTTCTTGTGATTTCATAGCCAATCTTTGTTCAGACACTAATATTAGGTACTGAAATTGTACTCAAATTGTCACAAACACACTGACAGGTGAACATATACACCTGCCTTGGTCATTTACTATTGTCTCAGAATATATACAAGGTATTTATAGGTCCCAGCAATGTTTTGGATATGTCGGAGTATTTAATAACAATAATAAGTTCTCTTCATCCTGTCAAGTGAGTGTAAAATGAAAGCCTGTAATTGTTTTACATGATGGTAGGATTGCTGGTGTCCATTTTTCTGTCTCACAAACATGCATGCACAAATCTTGTATAATACTAATGTTCTATCATATACAGTGGACCCCCGCATAACGATCACCTCCGAATGCGACCAATTATGTAAGTGTATTTATGTAAGTGCGTTTGTACGTGTATGTTTGGGGGTCTGAAATGGACTAATCTACTTCACAATATTCCTTATGGGAACAAATTCGGTCAGTACTGGCACCTGAACATACTTCTTGAGTGAAAAAATATCGTTAACCAGGGGTCCACTGTATTTACTTATGTACTATCACTGGACATGTTTCTAGAACTGCTGCAGCTTGTAGAACTCCTTGAAACAAGGCACCATGCACAGAGGTTCCTTACATTCCTTGCACATAAACCGGGTGTCTTTGTGTCTTTGTTGCTGTCATTTTGTTTGTGCACAGACAGCACATCTCTTCTGAGCAAATTTCTTCTTAGTTGCAGGAAGCTGTATTATGAAGTGATCACTTTCCCTCCTCAAACGCTTGGGTATATCCAGAGGAGTTCGAGGACAGTTTTGTATAGCAGGTGTTGTTACCTGGTATTTCATTATGAGTTGTCTGACAACAGTCAAACAAAATTCACCATACGGTGGTCTGTTGCCAGTCTTCACTTGGTACATATTATATGCATTGAGCATTGAAATGTCCATGAGATGGAAGAAAAGTTTCATATACCACTTGTAACTCTTACGAACACAATCAACAAAGCCAATCTGCATATCACATTTGTCAACCAAGCGCATGTTTTGTGTGTAATCAATCACTGTCACTGGTTTTCGAATATGTTCATTAGTCACTCTATCAACTTTGCCACTGTCTTGCATTTCGTTACGGTGAATGGTTGTCAACAATGTGACATCTCGTTTGTCATGCCACTGTAATGCCATGATATCATTGGCAGTAAACACCTGCTCCTCTTCACCACGAGTGCCTGCGTTGAACCTGGACATATGTTTACGATTAGAGTGCACTGTGCCACACACATCTGTCTTGTTCACTCACAAGAAATCACTGAGTAAAGGGCTTGTGTACCAGTTATCAGTATATAATGTATGCCTTTTACGAAGATAAGGTGCCATCATGTTTCTCACTACGTCACCTGAGATACCCAATAACATCCTGGTATCTTTCAATGTTTCGCTTCCCGTGTATACAACAATATCCAATACCAGGCCACTGTCACAGTCACAGAGTACAAACAGTTTTATACCAAAGCGTTTGCTCTTGCTCGGTATATACTATTTGAATGACAGTCTACCGTTGAACAAAATCAAAGACTCGTCAAGTACAAGATTCTTGAATGGATAACAGTACATGTCGAACTTTTGTTTGAGATACATAAAAACATTTGTAATCTTGTATAACCTGTCACTTCTGTCAGGCCGGGTTTTGTCAGAGAAGTGCAACATACATAACAATAAGATAAACCTGTTCACTGGGATGATTTCACTGAAGACCAGGGTACAAATTAGCCGATCTGTGGACCAGTATGATTTTATATTATGCTTATAGACATGAGGCATAAGCATTATTGTTGCAAAAAGCAAATACATTTCTGCAACAGTCGTCTCTTTCCACCGGTGTAGTCTTGACTGTGGTGATATCATCATATTTGCCATGGTGTACTCAAAATGCTTGTTACTTTCCCTGACGATAGTTTCCATCAAGGTCTGGTCAAAGAATAGTTGAAAGAATTCCAGTTCATTGGCAGTGGTTCCAAAGGGACAAGTAGGTTGAATTCCACTTTGAGAGTCATCAAACTGGTGGGGCTTGGGAACAAAATTGGAATTTTGCTGCCAATCCCACATATGGTTTGCTGGTGGACACTGGACATCATAAGCTGGTTGTGCTGGTAGTTGTGGTTGTGGTGGGCTGGTGGCTGATGCTCCACTTTGTCCTTAAACTGAGGAGTCAGCAGCGTGGGTCCCAGCCTGGGCTGGTGAGTCATGCATGGCCGTGGCACTACCATCACCACTACCACCACCTACTGATGCCTGTGGTCTATCCATGCCAAGCGTAGCCTCATCATCCTCACTTTTACTGTCTATTCCTGGTGTAGGACCACGGGATGTACTCTGGAATGTACTCCGTCCCCTGGGCACTGCATAGGGAACACTACCTGAGCGCATTCGGCAGCGTGTATACCGACGCGTCACTGGTGAATATGTTTCCTCACTATCACTACTTGAAATATCGTCAAGAGCAATAAAATCACAATCCATGTCACTATCATCATCATAACTAAAGTCAGAGGCCTGGCCATGTGAAAATAATAGTTTTCTCTTGTGATGAGGTACAACTGAACGTGACTGAGGAGTGCCCACACCAGAGGTAGAAGGTTGAGGATCGTCAGGGTTTTCTGCTCTATTATCGATATCCTGGTCATTTCTTTCAGTCACTAACTGATCAAAGCCAAAGAATTTGTCTTCATTTCCACTTCCATCAGAGTCAGAACTATCAGATAGGAAGAGGAGAGTCCCAATTTTCCTTGGAGTGAGAGCTGCCTTGCGATGAGCCATGGTGAACAAAGGTAACTGAGCCGGCGTTCCCACAATGCTATGCGGACGCCTAGAATTTTTGTTTACGGCACACACACACCACACAGACCAGTTCTCTCACATGTAGACCTACCAGCCTTTTCGCGCTAAATTTGACGCCGCTAGAATTTTGGCATAGATCTGCGGTTTGGACCCTGAACGTAAAGCCGTAGATCTACGGCATGGACCCTGAAAGGGTTAAAGAACTACCTTAGTTCATATATTTACATTTGTTAAAATAATTCAGGTGCTATTTTTTAGCTTTAGAATATTTACTTTGTATAATACTTAAATCTAATTATAGATCCACTATAAATCTTATGATTACAAGCATTGATCCTGATACCAACCTCTTATTGAATGACTTAAATGAATCAAACAGTAACTGTAATTACTACACAGCAGAACAATCAAAGGCACTTCTCAGAGCCAACAATAACATAACTGTCTATAACTACAATGTCAGATCTTTAAGCAAACATTACGATGACCTCACAGCATTAGTAAATTCCCTGCATGCCAGTATATCCATCATTACTCTCACCGAAACCTGGCTAAAGCCAGATACTACAGACATCTATGCCATTCCTGGTTACGCAGCCATACACAACTGTAGGCCAGATCAACAAGGAGGTGGCACAGCTATATACAAC